ATTCATAAAATGGGTTAAAATCCTTTACAATGATATACAGTGTTGTGTTACAAACAATGGTCATATTTCAAATGATTTTGTAGTCCATAGAGGCCTAAGGCAAGGTGATTCTTTCAGTTGTCTTACATTTTTACTGGTAATTGAAATTTTTGCAAACATGGTCAGGCAAAACCCAAAAATTGAACCCATAAAATGGAGGGATATTTCTATAAAAATTTCTATGCTTGCTGATGATGTGACAGTAATGACCAATGGATCAAAATCTAGTATTGATGCCCTTTTTCAAACTTCAAACATTTTTGGGATTATATCTGGGTGCAAAATTAATATAGCAAAATGTCAAGCAATGTATATTGGCACTAAGATTGGAACCTCCCCGATTAGTAGTGAATATGGTCTGAATTGGAACGATGAAATTAAAATATTGGGTGTTATTCTGTCAAACAAAATGGAGGGTATATACAGCAAAAATTTTCCTCAAATATTAGATAAAGTCAAAAAGCTACTTCAGGTGTGGAAAACAAGAAATTTGACGTTTTTGGGAAGGGTTTGCATTATTAAGTCTCTCATTCTACCCCAGATATTATACCATGCAACTGTTTTACCAATCGATGTTCCTGAAAGTTTTTGACTGAATTGAATAGAACTATATATGTTTTATATGGGGTTCAACTTGGGAGCGGATCAAACGAAATACATTGATTGGCCCCAAAGAAAAGGGAGGTGTTGATATGATAGATATAAAAAATTTTATTGTTGCCCAAAAATTAAATTCATTCAAACACTCTTGAATGAGGAAGTTAATCCAGTGTGGAAATTGATTGAGATGGAAGTGCTTAGCCAATACTGTTTTCAAGCATTGCTTGAAGGAAAATTGAGCTCAAATTCATATGTTCTGAAGCATTTACCTTTAACATCCATACGAAATGTATTTAAAAACTGGTATTTCTGTAAAAATGTGCTTTTTGATTGGAAAATGTCAAATTTTGATCAACCTATATGGTACAACAAAAGTATTTCTTATGCCAGAAACAATTTTTTATAAAGTCTTGGATATGATCATGAGTATAAAGCTGTAAGACATTTCAGCAAATGTGGGTAATTTGTTTACTATAGAGAGTTGACTGAAAAATATGGCATGCAATATAGTGATGAAAGAGTATGTGATTATTATCGCATCACTGGAGTTCTACCCGATTATTGGTTATGCAATATTGGAAACTGTGATTGATTTTAGTGTAATAAGTGACACTGAAGAGAATGTAATGTCATTTTATTTCTGAAACATTCGAATCAGGAAAAGTAAATAAAGCATCTAATAAAAGTTGAACCTTATCAAATTTATATCCCTGATAAATCAAGAAAAAAATGGACAGATCTTTTGTATTTAGAGAGTGATTTTAATTGGAATAAATTGTATATGGATAATCTTTTATTGTACTATTGAAACTAAATTGCCAATCTTTTCAATGTAAAGCTATTTCATGGTTGCCAGTAGTACTAAAACGATAGATTGTATAAATTTAAACTTGTCTTCATCAGAGTTATGTGATTTCTGTCATTCGAATGTTGAACTACTGACCATTTCTTCTATGATTGTATAGTTGTCCAACAGTTTTGGGAATTTCCTGAACATGTGGATATATTCAAAAAACAGGGATTAATTTTAACTTTTCAAAGAAAGATTGCATGTTGGGATATGTTTGCCAATTCTATAACAAATTGTGTAATTGTATACTTCTTACTGCCCGGTTTTATCTATATCGTTGTAAGATACCAGAAAAAGAAACCACTGTTCTATGTTTTTACCTCATATCTTCATGAAGTGAGGGAAATTGAGGCGGTTCATTGCACATAAAAATGGCAAAATTAAAGAAACATTATCAAAAATGGAAAATTTTAGGATATACGCACAATAATTGATTATTTTTATTATGATGAATTGTGATTATGTAGTTTCTATAAATATTGATTAATAATGCTGTAGCTATTGTAGATGTATCGATTAACTGTGTTTTATATAATAATAAATATATATAAAAAAAAAAAAAAAAAAAAAAAAAAAAAAAAAAAAAAAATTCCATTAATCTATCTACCGTGGCATTGATAACTGAAATCACGTCCTCGCTGTTATCGTCTCCTGTAAATGGTTTAAGGTATATTAATGTAATTAAATTTGGACAGCGACAGTTTATGAGGGAAAAATTCATATATTTTTTCAATTTACATACGTCCCATATAAAAAAAACTTAGCCAGAAGTAATTTAATAACTCAATTAAATTGTCTTACCGCATGTTTCATATGTGGATTCTTCCTCGCTTACTACAAACCCCAACAGCATACAAACAAAAAAATATTTCCCTGAAGATCTTCATCTTTGTAGTGAGATTTAAGGTTAAAATGATTCCGTGATTCGACAGCATTGTATATACCGGGTGCCTGTTTGTCAGATTCGACGAAAGTACCACAAGTATTGTTGTTTATGAGATTGGTCGAGGTGATTTCCAACTTGTTCAAACAATGGTAGATGATTCCAAACGTGAGTTGAACAGATGGCGTCATTCGTAGATCCCTGGTTACGAGTTTATTGATAAAATTTTAACACTGTAATATATACATTTTCTCCCCAAATAAATTCGCTCAACAACTATTTTTTTGAACGACATAATATAGTGACGTTGGCGAAATTGAAAAATTATGTATATTTGTTTTATGAACAAATTCTACAATGCGTATGTCATACCAATTGTCTGATAAGTTTGTTTTAGAAGATATTTAGTTTTAGTAATGAATAAGATTTATTTCAATCGTTATACTTGGAATTTGAATCCGCAAGCACAATACTAAATTGATTTAGTTGAAAGGCTAAACATTAGGCTAAAGTGGTTCTAGGAAAATTCACCGTAGGAAATTTCGCCACATAGGAAAGATCGCCGCATGAAAAATCGCCGCAAGAGTATTTTGCTGTAAAACAAATATTTGTGATAAAAACAGTTAGATTTTTGAAGTACCTTTTTATTTAAAAAAGATTCGTTATCTAAGAGCATACCTAACCCTATAAACCTAACATTGTTTTCCATAAATACTTGTTTTACAGCAAAATGCTCTTGCGGCGATTCTTCATGCAGCGAATTTCCTATGCGGCGAAATATACTGCGGTGAATTTTCCGGACACGGGCTAAAGTAACTTGAAGAGTCCTATTATAAAAAAGGCAATATGCCGACTATTGCTAAATTCTATATGATGGACAACTTTCTTCTGATTCATAATGCCTTCTTTTAAATTTTTCCCCCGTATTTTCCAGGTCGACGTTCTAACCAGTGTTTCAAATGAATATCATGATGTATTTGCTGCCTGTATAATATAGCTCAGTGTTTCCCAACGTATGGGTCGGACGCCTGAAAATTTTCCTGTGTTGCCTGTTTTTTCAACAATAACTAGAAAGTTACTGAGGATATTTTTTTTTAGATTTTGAGTTTGATATCAAAGTGCTGCTCAATAGTGTCACAGCGTAACAACTTGAGATTGCGCTTGTGATATTCCATTCTGGCTCATCAATGCAAAGTTAACCTTACTCGTACTTGTGTTCTTGCGTTAATTTTTGCAGAACGATTAGTACGGCGTATGCTACTAAGTCTGTTTGACAGAATTAGTTACTATTGCAACGTTTGTCATTGTGATGACAGGATGTTCATATATTTTGGAGATTTGCATATGGCGCCAAGATTTATCCCCTCATACAGGATAGGATAACAGAAACATATTACATGTTAAAGTTTTGATGAATATTTAGACACCATGTGAAGGATTTCTAGCACATATGGGTACATGCACAAAGGAGAGTTGGTGGAAAATTGTTAGCAAATGTGTCAACCAGATATCATTGAAATAAAGTGCAATTTCAACCTTTATTTTAACAACAGTTTTTGAATAAAAGTAGCGAAAAAGTGTAAAATTCTACTTGAAATCTTAAATAATGTAAAAGTTATACTCTAACTCAGGGGTCTTCATCAAGCGGCCCGCCAGTCAATTTTTTGCGGCCCACGTCATGGTTGGGATTTTTCCACAAAAAACTAAAATAGTACGATGTCAACTAATAGTAGGTTTTATCGTGTCATTATCATCAAGAGTCCGGTCCGACAAACTGTAAAAAGTGAAGCAAAATTCCCCCTGTTGTCCACAGTCAATGTTTTATTATATATATCGTTATAATGCAATTTTAAATGTGATAATTTCATTTTCGCATGTTTATTGTGACGAAATAAACGAGTTTCGATCAGTTCATTGTGCCCGGAGAAAGGTTTGCAAAGATAATTACACATTCACTTGCATACCTGCGATTTTTGGCAGTTGTTATATTTGCGAGCAATTTTTTCGACTATGAAAGTTAGCAAATCAGCCCTCCGCACACGACTACTAACGGACGAGCATTTGTATGTTGTTTTAACACTAGCACACTAACGCAAAATAAGGCCAAACATCGAGACCAAATATCCAACACAAGTGAATGAATACGCTTCATGTCTCGTTTGCTGTGAGATTCAAGTGTAATTCAACACAATACATTCAGATACCCATGTTTGTACTTAATTTCTTGGTTTGCGGCCCGAATGGTCAATAAATTTCAAAAAGTGGCCCGCGACATGTTTGGAGTTGGTGTGCTCTAACTTATATTACATATGTGTAAATGATGTGTTTACCAAGCAAAACTAAGTTAGTCATTATTATACGTCTCAGGTCTCATGACATACATCTGACGTTATTGGGAATGAGTCGTTTCACGAGATGCAGAATAATACAATATGAGAACTGACGTCATTCGCCGCTAGTCAGCAAGAGCAAAACTTTTAACCCCAATGCGTCAATCATTCAACTTCAGTATCGTGAATGATTTCATAACACCGGGGTAATCATGATGCATATTGGATACGTTTATGTAACACCCTCGGAACAACAAACACAGATCAATTTATTATTTGAGTTTATCCTCAACGCAGTTTAAAAAATAGCGACTAACACAGAATATAACACAGTAACAGTCACACAGAAAAAAGCTTATTGCTTAGTAAGAATACTAATGTAAAATGCGCAGCAACTGAATTTAAAATAGTGAAATAATAATTCAGCATTATGTTCTCAAATTGCATCCAACTAGCATTTCACTTTCTTATACGTTAGTTTATGATATTAATTTGGTCAATGCACAAAATGCGTTTATCTCCATCCTTACCTAGAAGAGATTATCGATCAGCTAGTGTAATCACTGTATTAGGGAGTTAAGTATCATACTTGATGGATATTTGGCAAAACGATTTAAAGTTCAAATTTTAATTGATTAATCTTAATGCAATTAATCACTATTACTCAAATATGCGAATAATAGTTACCAATGTACTGTTCAATCAATCGTTATCAAATATCTATTTCACCATAATGTATAATATAAGTTCAAATGTATTTCCTATTTACATTCACCAAGCAGTTCAAAAGTAAATAATAAATTCACAACACAGGTATGGCAGGTTTTAGAAAAAAATGACAGCAATGAATATCTTCAACATCGTGTTTGACACATTTCATCATAGCTTTTGTCTATGCAGATGCCAAATTCGTAAAGTTAAAAAAAACTTTGCTCAAAGCAGAACTGTAGCTTTTTGTATGATATGGGAGCAAGTTTCATTTCCTCGGAGATGGTGTGTGTTGTCCTTCTCTAACCAAACTTCATAAGAATGCTCACTCGCGATATGAAAATTTCAACATGTTGAAAAAACGAATAATAAAAGCTGACAATTACAAAAAGTCTAATGTAGAAAAAGAACAGTGGAATATGGGGACTGGTATATTGAAACAGTGCGGTTTGTGTACTTCGATAATTTAACGCAGCGGCTTTCTTTCCAATGAGCTACCTGGACTATGGGCGCTATTTACAGTTCCGATGCTAGACCTACAACTGCTCAAAGTGTCGTAGTGTGTATTGGGCACTGGCTTCCACGATGCGCTAAGGTATGTATTTGCATTAGAATCTATCTTCGGGTTGTTCTTTTTTGCATCATATACGACCACTCGCGCCGAGTTTGTTATGACGGATTCCCGTCTATTATATCGATGATGTGTAAATAAAAATCGAACATCACTGTTCCTCCATTTTCTTTTAACAATTCTCCAGTCCGCTTTGTTCACAACGCAATACAATAAAAATATTTGAAGTCCTTGGAGGCCATTTACTACGGTATGTGCTGTTAGAAGAGTAGTGGTCGCACCAGGTATATTACCTAGAATACCCAGTATCCACGGAATTGCAAGAACTGGCATTAATATTGCAAATGTTCGAGTCACAGATAGCATATGTTTCACATGCCTTTTTTGTCTGGCAGCCGACCCAAGAGGTATGGCACCGCTACCAATCGATGTGACCGAAGATCGATATCGAGGCGGGGGTGTACTGCCACGACTTTGGACGGCGTTCCCATTTGAGTAACCGTATTGAGTGTTGCTCGATTCAAAGTTTCTCACTCGGTAAGTTTGAATTTTTCTATTCATCTTCATAACACCTTTTGTTATGTAGCACAAAATAGCTATATTTGCCACAACGACAAATATAATTGGACCAACAGCAGTCCATACAATTCCGCTGTCAGCACTCAGCCAACATCTTTCATACATTGGCGTTGAATATGATGTATTTTGTGATTTCTCTAGAGTAATTTTATAGGCTTCAGACAAATCGATATACTTGTTGTTTGATATCCCGTATGCTGCCGCAGGTACCGTAAAAACTAGAGGCGCACACCAAGCAAATACAGTTTGCACTATTGTCAAAGTAGGATATTCCACGTTCAATGTTAGTTTCGGAAACATCTTCACAAATATTCCGAGTCCTTCGCAAAAGGACCAAAAGCCCGTGGCAAGTAGGAAATAATGAGTCATTATGGTGGCTGCTACACAACCGTTATCATTATGGTTTCTTGCGAAATCGCTCCAAACTATAACTAAGTGGAGACACAGTAACGAAACACAAAGACTAACTTGCGAGTTTGTTCGGTTCGAGTTCATACCTGTTGCTTTTGGTGCGAATGTGGAATCAATACCAGCCCCGTGTCTCGCAATCAATATAAATAAAACTGTAAGTAACAAGCAGCATATGCTTGCAATTTCAAAAGCCAGAGAGATATAATGAACCTCGGCCGGCATAACCACCGAACTATTCAACATTAATAAAGTCACGAAGGTCGTCGTGTGTTCGCACTCGCACGTCACTCCGCCGGCATTTGATTTCGTGGATCGGCATCCTTTGTCACTCCACGTTCCGGTTGTTGTCAAATCGAACCAGACGCACACTCGCTGAACATTTTTGATTCTTTCGTTGGATTTCAAGCCTTCAAGTTCAGTGAAGTCATTTTGGAGATCCACAGAATAAGTAACTGGTAAACTTTCTTTGATCATATCCAATTTATCATTTTCGCGATAATAAGCAACCGTCACAGCAGTTACATTTTCCGGTATTCTAGCATCTGACCGCGTCAAGTTTCTAGGCATAGTACTCATGTCTTTCCATAATGCTACAACCACGGTAAGTTTGGATACTTGTTTTCCACTAATTTTTGTCGCATTCAACACTTTTTTTATTGGAATTTGGACATGAACAGAACTAGCTTCGCTCGGCTTTATTTCCAGCGAAGAAACATTGTCGCTTGTTGTAACGTTACCATCATTATTTCTTGTAGAAATTGGATTCAAGGATATTGTTTGTACAACGACGGTGACGTCTTCTCTAATAATTTCGTCATTATCGAGCTTTGCGAAATCTTCGGAAACAGATTCTTCAAATTTCCTTATTTTTGAGGCGGCGTCCCCAACGAGCAATTCGAGATCTGTGGAAATGGAATAACTCAAATTCAACTGCGTGCTAAATAAAAACTACTTATCCATGAAATGAGTAATTGGAAATTTTAACGCGCTGTACAAATTTTGTATATTATCCTACACTTATTATGGAAAAAATATTTTATTGAATAAAAAATCATGCTTACGTACTTTTATGAGCTGTTTGTGTCGGATCGAGTTCTGGATATTCTGGTGATGTGCGATTCACTGGTTCTGCAATAATTATAGGAAGAGCAAGATTCAATCACTGATCTAAGTCGAATTTAAATCAGAAAACAAAAAGTCAAAATATGGATTAATTTCGAAGTAAAGTTTACTCTCGTTTATTTTTGCGTTAAGTTCAGATTGTGAATAAAGTATTTTTTAAGAAAGATCGCGTTATGGAGTATGGATGACAAAACAGGAAGCACCGTTAGTTGGCGATCCGCGAAAGTTTGACCACTAGATGAGCTGGTAATGTTCTTCTATTACGTATATGTTATTGCATTATTGATGATTGAACTATTACTTATAAACAATATGCTAGAATTGTGTATGTATATAATTGCCATGTATATTAATAATAAAAGAACTTACTTTTTTCATTTAGTGATTGAGAATTGATTCCGTCAACTATTAAATAAAAATGGCAAATTTAAAAAACAAATCAAGGCACACTCTGTAACAGCGACAATTTGAAAAGATTTCACAATAAATCGAAAATTTACCTGCGCCCAACGTTAAGAGTAGCACAATAATCAACATATGATAAACATCCATTACTTGTCTTCTTGATGCTTCAAGCAAATAATATAAACTCAAAGTGTAACGAAAATCTTCAATCAAGCGCTTGCGTCATGTTTTCTATATATAGTTAGAACCTGCTGTAACCAATATACATGCGATTATGTCATAGTCTGACAAAAATATCAAGGCAAATTTGTAGACGAATAACGCCGTTTTTGGATTATGAAATACTGTAATGTGGGGAAACCCTTAATACTACTTTGATAATAATTCATTAAGTTTAATGTAAGTAGTCGAAGTTTACTGAAAGAAACGCATTATTGTCCACGCTTGGATGTTAATAAAACGCCGGTATGATCGTGAAAAAGACGTTTATACCAATTATTCACTGGTATAAGTCTCGGATATTACTGCTATAGGGAATGGCATAAGTCTTCTATATTACTGTGTTTTAACAATTTAGCACGTATGTCCTGTCACGTATAGGGAGGGTCGTGCTTTGATGGTTTCTCTGAACATGGCCTGAATCACTTTCTGCATGAAATCTGCAGAAAATATGATTTTCATCCTAATTCTTCATCAAATGAATTATTGCTCAATTATGTTTTTTTCATAATTTATCCGATCCATAAAACAGTTATAATAGTGCCTAATGTTAGTTATTCATATTGCGAATAGCTATAGAATATAAATAGTATATATAATATTGAGTACATATATAGAGTACTCTACAAATATGCAAGTTTGCTGGAATAGTTCTTTTGCAAATTTTCATCAACTTTATATTTTCATATATTATTTCTTATTTCCTTCCTGTTCGGAGGAACGAGGATACAAACTAAATATACATATGCTACTGAATAACGACTGCTCAATTATAAAAAAGTAAGATGCTCTTCAATTTTTTTTTTTGATTTATAACCAATAAAATATCATCAAGCGATATCAAACAACTACTATGTTTAGGAATGTTTACACTCTTGGTATCTTATCCTTATTATGCCTTATGGACCATCACAAACTAATCTTGAAACTCTACGTATTATGTGATGTGGCAGTTATGCCAACCACAGCTCGTCCACTGGAACCGTCACTGTTCTGTATTGTTTTGTATATTGAAAACAAATGAACTGATGCTAGTGTTCAAATTTATTCAAACCAGTCACCAACCAGTCAAAAGTACCCTCTAAAACCTGTCTACCCTTTCTATTGAGCGTAGTTTCTGAGAATATCACGAAAATCCATCTTTAGAATGTGACGCAGTAAAATCACTTATTTCGATAGCATAGTCCGCTAATAATCTGGACGTATTCTTTTTATATTCACAGCACTGACAATATCATACTTGGTCTTAATAATCGACTGCACATTGAGTTCACACTATGACTAACGAATATTCATTCCATCTATTAACATACTGAAATATACATGTCATCAATTTCTCTAACCAGCAGTCAATTAGGATAATTTCAAAATAAAATTCTAAATCATCTCATAGCCTGTTTTTCTGCTCATAAAAGAAGTATTCGTAATATATAGCATATGGAAGAAAAAGGGACGCAGTATGATTTTTGCATGACGTTAGACTATGCATAGGTAGGAAGTGTGGTGACGCAGATGTTCAGTATTCAATACATAACCTAACAGAACTGTTCAGAAAATAATTGAATATAATAGGAATTTCATGTAAATGCAGTTCATCAGCACAAACTAACTGTTCGGGGAAACAAAAAACTATGATTTCATTTCACTATTACGCACCATTACGCCATTTTTTTCAAGAATATAAAGGCATATCAGGCATACCTTGATGGTCAATATGCTAGTATCTCCCGTTTAATAAAATGGGTGTTCGGGCTATAGCTGTTTCTAAACACTGACTACACAAGTGCATTCTCCAATCGCTATTGTCCTAATTTGCTCGTTTACTTAGAAACAATGCAGTCATCTGATTCTGATGATGTGCACATCCTTCTCGTTGCTAATTCATCAAGTCATTAGTATGTTTGACTCATTATATGGAACTTTGACATGATTTTTCAAAATCAGAAAAATTCAGACTATTAATATCGGAAACCCGGAATATATCTGATTCACGAAAGACAGTTGAAAATCCAAAACTCTTTGAAAATTATTTTTAGAATGTTGTAATCATGTTAATTTTCTTATTACAGCAGGTTTTTCGGTATCAGCGCAACTTATTAAATAGAAAATCTTGCACTACTGTTTTAAAAACTAGTATGTCACCAAAATGTTATTGCAAAAAGATCAGTTACTATTATTATTATTCAATGAGTATTTTTTACGTATTAGACAATTCGCATTTATTTTCATTCGTAACATAGAAACACTCACATTTTTGATTTTATATATAACCTTTTGCGTAGAATAATGACCGCATGCATTTCATGAACCTTAAACTCGTCAAGACTATGCCATGAACTTTCATAGTCTTTCAAAAAAAGTTTCGGTCTTCGTAAAAACACAATTTGTCACAATGTAAAAATCCAAAATATTTCATGAATAACATTCTTTTTTTCATGTACAGATATTTCAATCCATAAATCAATGTGGTTTTTGGACTTCTGCAGACGAATATTGAAATTATGAATTTGAAAAATTGGTATTTAAAAATCGATAATGTGATTTTTTATATGTAACTAATAAAGTATTTACATTACGGGATCCACTTGCTCAGTATCACTGTGCTACTTGTGCTGTGTTAAATTTGCCCAAGCACGCGCCAATTGTAATCTTCAACGAAAGATCAACAGCTCATCTATGACCGTTGAACCTGGCAACGATTATGTTATTACTATTTTTACGACGTCACTAAGAGTTTCATTCAGGTCTTCAGATGCGTCATTATCATATCCGTTGAACGATTTGGAAATTTTAACTCCATGAATATGCTTCCATATTCAGTATTATAAAACGTCATTTCCGTTCAAATGGTCAGACACCAGACGAATGGACTTCTTCGTGACATCTTGTTGCAATACTTCGTGACTATCTGAATCGTATATAATATACATATAAAGATAACCTGGACTCAAAAATAGATTTATATGTGACTGCCTAACCGTTTCAACCCAATTACAATCAAACTTCGTATCAGTTTGCTCAGTTTGGTGGTTATTTCCCATCCCCAAAAAAATCTGTGGATCGTTCAACAAAATTTTGGTAATGTTCTTGTTTTGTTTGTTGACGTGAAAAAATCGCCCTTTTTCCAACTAATGGTAAAATCGATTTTGGATTTAAGTACTTGATAATAGAAAAAGTCGCTGGGGCGCTATTACTTACAATGCTTTTCAAATTTTCTTTGAGTCCTACGTAGTAAGATATTTCATCTCATATCTGAGCATTGAACTCTTGTTGGGCGCATAAACTGATATTATCTATATTCCTTTGGTCTATCAAGTGAGTCAAATATTTGTGTTGGCCAAACCTCATGCAAATTTAGTTTATAGATCTATAATATTCTCAAAGCAGCTGTTCGGATCCCATATTATCAGTTCAAAATAGCCAAGTTTTCAAATGCTTTGCCATAATTTTAATTTGAGATTTTTATTAAAAACACATGCCAGACTATATGGCGTCAAATACTATGTAGGGTTATATTTAGCAGTGCATAAATGAGTATGTATTTGTGAATGGAACTGAGTATTACGTATATGGAATTAAAAGTAATAAAATTACAGATATCTGATTGAGCAAATTGTGCGATAAATATAGAAATTGAGTGTACATGATAATGTAAATCTATAACGGCGCAGTTGGAGTACCTAGTCGGGCCGAATATTTCGAATCAGCCTCGTTTTTGGATTAAAGGCTTTAAAAAGAGATACCGGGTTCGAATTTTTTCAAAATCATCCACAAAGATTACCTATAGAGAGCAGATAGTCTTACGTTCAGAAATTGAATTTACAGTTCTTATTTGCAGATGTACTTTTGAGATCTGGGCCTGCATTGGACTCATATAAATACATATTCATGTTTCAAAAACTTCTTCTCCTGTAAATTCAACCAAATCTAGGCTGTGACCGAGATTTGTCTGTCCTATTTCTTCATTTGTGTCATTTGAATTTTTAGCGTTTGGTTTTGCATTTTTTCCAGGTGATGTAAAAGTAGACCCAATCGATACCGTTGTTTTTCTTGTTGTTTCTGAAGCAGTCGAGGGGGTTAATGTTCTTCCAAATCGCGTGGTAGCACTTTGTGGAGCAAAAGGTTGTGCAATTGTGGAACTGATGACATCTTCTGCAAAAACAAAGCGTTTTGAAGTAAGAAGCGTAAAATTCTACAGTATTTTACATTTTTTGTTCATTTATACTAGTTTAGTTTTTGCCAACTTAACAACATACAATTTCATCAATGTGTCATATTACCATTTTTGTTCTTTTGGAAATTACATCTTTGTGTTATGGCCGTCGTCCAGGCTTGCCTCACATCCTTTCGCCTTAAACAGAAGAAGTAGAATACAAATACTCCCTGGAAGAAAATGAAATGTTATCAAAAGACACCATGCAATTTCTTTCTCAGAATCAACAGCAAACGAAATAAAATTGCTCATTCGTTCATTATCCTATAATGTGATATGCAAGTTAGATACTTTAATTTAGAAACGATGCATAAAAGTGAGTATCAACGGACTTCATTGCAGGTGATGAATATCGTAACAGAGTTTGTCCAAAAAATTCGCTTTAAACTAAATGTTAAATTACGAAGATTCAAAATGCTTGACAGTAGTTACATTTTTATATTAAAATTTAGCATCATTGAAGGGCAATCGTGATTTATGCTGAGTTTCAATGAAACGAAAACTAAAAAGTGCTAATAACCAATATTCACAAATATACATTTGCGCTATTGTATATATATATATTTATATATACTTATATTCTCAGATACAGGATTTCTATATGTATGGCATTGTGTTTCATCGGCTATGATTCAGTCAGTTTCTAAATATATTTACCTGTGCCGAAGTCGTTATAGCAAAAAGCCATCCAAATACTTCCTGCACTAGGGCATTGCTTGATACGACCAGTGGTATAGCAAATATCCAAGCCACACCGAGAAGCAAGGCTACAAGTATAGCACGTAGAACATGGATAATGGGCTTCTCTTCAATCGAACACTGTACCTACAAGTAGATATTTTTTACTTGAAGTAAAACAAGAGAGCTATGCTCAAATATATGGACACGTAGAGTCACATAATTTTGATGACGTCATAGCGAAAAAAAGTCATAGCCCTCTGGAAAATTTTTATCTTTAACCACTGAAAATTTCAAAGCAATTGGTCCAGTATTCAAAGAGAAAGGCGATTTCTTCAAAACGTGTTAACGGAGACAAATAATAACAATAACAACAAAATTTTGAAACGATCGTTATGCCCACTACGTGTCCAATTATATCCTAAGACACATAAAAAAAAATAATCCTACTGATTTCCGACCCCATGTTATTGCTTTAATAATGACAACAGATAATACAATGTTGAATGTTAAAAATATTCCAACAATCAGAAGAAATCCGAAATAGAGTGAATTCCCTTGCAACCAACAATAACTTTCGGCAACGTAGGTTGACCATACATCAGTTTCGCAACCTGAAAATAGTGAATGAGTTTTAAGAAAATTAAAGGAGTTAATGTGTAATCGCCCAATGTAGATTTTGATAAAATACCAGTTCCACTTTAAAAGCAAAGTGAATATTCCCATTTCAAAAACTATGTAACTCGAATAGCATAAGAGCTATCGAAAAATCAAATCAGTTATATGTGATGATTTTTGGTTACATATTATAGGTGGATATTTGAGCAGGTGGGTAGAAAGTTTTACCTGCGGGTACTCATCAAGGTATATTTTTACTTTATAAAATAGTTTCCGACTCATGCTCTAAGACAGGGGTGGGAAAGGTTTTTGGACAAAAGGTCAAAATACCTAGACTGGCGGAACATGTAAATCTGACGTAATAATTTGCCTATCATTCTTCACGAATTAGGGTGCAGAAAAGGGATGCAGCAACAGATTATTAGAAACCATCAAAAACGATAGACTAAATTACATGGCGAGAATGCGTAAGCTATGAACAAAAAATACCGTGAAAAAAGGAAGGGAGAGCGTTATGAGGAATTTAACAAAACTTTTTCGGCACTAAATTGAAACTCAAGGGCTGCGCATGACCGCACACGACAACGCACGAGGCACAAGGTGGAAAGCACGCCGTCGAGTCCAGTGAGCAAGAAAACGTGAAGTTTTGTTATCACCCCATAACATAAAAGTCTGTGGGAACCTAAACTACACTTACCCAGACTACGATCATAATATAACAAGCCTACTGCACCATACAGATTTCAATAACAACAACTATGTAGTGCATGCAGAATTGGTTAAAAGCAGAAATTTATGGTAACATCAGGCGAGCCAGATTGAATCACTCAACGGGGCGTAGTTTGTCCATGTAAGCTCTAAGCATATTGCAGGGATATCGTATAATGAATTAGTCTTACCTGCTCCTTTATCCCATTGCATATACTGCGATAAAATCGAGAAACTTATAGTAGTGAGAACAATTGCTGCTGCGACTGCATAGACAACAATTGCAGATTTAACCCCTTCGTCTTTCGCGTGCCTTCTATCAAACGTTTGAACAAACATCCTGCGAAATTGTGGAAAAATTTTACTTCATAATAGCAGTGGAATTCTGAGGTTCAGCCTAGTTAGTAGTAACCTATTACCAATGTTAAATTATGTCTGTCAAATTTAGTCAGCTTTGCGCAATTGATGTATGCTCAATGTACTGAAGCAGTACTGTACCGTACTTTCACACTCGGGGGCGCCAAAGTGCATTGCTGAGAACTTCGTCGAAGTAATGGATATTGACCACATCAACATCTGACTGCTGAAAATCGATTGATTGAATATTTTGGTAGTAGAATGTAATACCCTAGCGGTAAGCGCACAGTATGGGTAATTAACAAAACGAAATGACGTATTAAAGTGTCTTTTTGTGAACAAAATTTAATTAAAATTGGTCGGAAAACTGTGTATTTTCAAATCTTTGGAGGGGACGTTGCAGGTCTCGTCGCCCCAGCGAGGAATGAGAGCAGAGGAAAAGTGAAAAAAGGGTAATAGACTTCTAGCAACTTCTTCCTGGTACCGTAATCGAATAGCCCATTTACTATGAATAATAGCGATTTTACCCAATAACAACAATCACCTAAACAACAAGAGAGCAATGCTCAAATATATGGACACGTAGACGAGAGCGAATCAGTCCTTACCGGTACCTTTGACGCTACCGGTACCATCAAGAAAATTTCAGATTTTCAGTAGCAGGAATTTTGCAGAATCGAAACGTACAGCCAGTCTCCACACGGACTAAAATCAAAATCCGTGTTCCCATGGATAAAAAAAAATTCGGACGAAATTTCAAATTTAATAGAATTCATACAAAATTTAAAAATAAATAAAAGTAATAGCCTTCTAGAAAAAATTCAATCTTCAACTACTGAAAATTTCAAAGCAATTGGTCCAGTAATCAAAGAGAAAAGCGACTTTATAAAAACGTGTCAAAGAACAAGAACAACAACAGAATATTGAAACGATCGCTATGTCTACTACGTGTCCAACAAGAATATCAACAACACGGATTCATCAAAATCATGTGTACACTACGTGTCCAATAATGTCTGAACAAGTATTCTCACCTGTACATTGTTATGCTCTCTACCGCCATCCATCCCCAAGCTGCTAGTAAGAAGAAATGTATAAGGGCGGATACAGCAATACAAACTTGTCTGTTACTTGTCGCTTCTATCCCAATCAAGAATATGAAGTAAGCAATGGAAAGGCAGGCACATAAGTTAATATGAGTGAATGCAGATCGCACGCGACGAAGTTCTCTGTATAAATGAATTGAATATTACTGATATTTTGTTTTTGTCTGGCATAAAACTTTGAATCAACTTCAAATTCTGGAATACCCTTCCAGCTAGCAAATTTCTGACAGCGTTGACTGTTGACGTTCTTCATATACCGCAACAAACAGCATGCATATAATGAATGAAGCAGAGATCTTTCAAGAAAACCAAATAGAAAATATAAAAACGGCTTTGTAAACCAATTAGGCCCATAATGCGAATTATTTTATTAGTATAATACTTAAAATACATAGGATGAATTGCATAACTCACGGTACAAACAAAAATATCCATATGGTTAAGGCAAGGCATACAATACAGATAATCATTCCGATAGTGCTCACAATATCCAAAGCATAATTTGGTAGCACGTGTTCACTCTGAATAGAAAAATATTTGTTAACGTGCTATTTAATGCTATATTTATATATATTTCAATACAAAAATTCAATATCTATGATCAATTTGGATAACAAGTCAATTAAAACTAGCATGGTATAATTTAAGATGTACGAATATGACCAGCCACAAAAAATGACTCGTTTGGTTCATAGATGATTTTGCACTTTTCAACCGTTTGTCTGAACTAGAAAATAGCAGAACTTCTCATCAAAGGCCGTACGCTATCCAAGCGAACCAATACCGTTTTTCAGTAACTCCAATAAATCGGCTGATGGGGATTAGATCCCAAAAAACTTCAGACAAAATATACACTAATTCAATTTATTTTTATAAAAAGTATTTTCTGCTCTACATTGTAACGCGTCAAGAACTGAGCGCAGTCGTCTAAAATTGTGATATTGTATTTTAGATTGTCGAGTTTAAAACATTATGAACTATCTTCATACTATTATAAAATGATTTACAGGACAATTACTCAAAGTGAGGTGGAAAACAAGTTTTTATATACACGGTGTTCATAAAGTCTTGTTACAATTATATTTTTGTTATAAAATCTGTTCTCCATGTGCCCGTTTACTTTAGTGAATCAGTGTTTATTTGAGCTTTTTCTTCAACAAATATAGCTATAGGTGCAAAAAAAACTTTATTTGGTATCTATAACTGCAACCATAAACTTGGAATCAAACATAGGTTCATTCAGATGTCTGTATACATTCAAATTGAATCTTACCACAACAACTGCAAAACTTGTTGTATGATCACATTTGCATCTGACAACATCGGTTCTCTGACCAATAACCGGAGGTTCAACGCGACACCCGTCTGTTTTCCATAACTGCTCTGGGTGATCATAATATCTACATTCCGTTTTGAGACACTACATAGTGAGAGTACAAAAATGAAGCTCCGCCTCCATTTATAATAGTGTAAATTTAATATTCTCTGAATTTAGACATTGAATATTTCTGACGTTGTGAAAAATAAGTGAGGTAAGTATTTGAATCATTATCGTATTCTTTAGCGTACCGTTCCTGAAGAAACATTCTTATTGTCCGCTATTTGCATCGAAAACTCGACTGGAACGCTGTATGTTTGTGTGCCGTCTGTAACTGTTGCTGATATAACCTAAGCATTTGAATAAATTGAAATATTTACACTGACAAGTAGATGGTCTGAGTAAAAATTAAACTATTTACAAACCGCAAAATTTTCGGAAATTTCATCAAGAAAGTATTTATTTTTAATAAGTGAGAAAGCCAACGGCACATTTTTGGTTTCACTGACTAAAAGCTATGATCAATTTCAATCGTCATTATCTTCATGATACACAGAATAATAAAGTCATTTGAGTTTTTTAGCGAGAGTAGGAACCGTCGTGATTTGTTACCAAACGTTTCAAATCTACAGTTGCCAGAAATTAGGCAGTACCTTAAATGTACTTACCGAATTCACTTCGACTTTTTCATCGGTTGGAAACAACTCATCATCATCATAAGACATAAAAACAGCGCGAAATTGCTTTTGGTTTCCGTATCCTGGTGACTTTCCCGGCAACGGAGGATCAGCTAACACTTTTATATTTGATCTTCGATCATTACTTGAATATTCCAACGCAAGGTCGTCTTCATGCTCAAGTTTTACAACCTGAAGTAAGAATTTATTTTGGCTTCTAAATTATTCCGGTACTATAGTCTCATACCAAGCATAAATAGTAATGGCTTAGGAAGAAATTGTTCTTCTTGATCGCTATGGTCCCACAGCAATTTTAATCAGATACCACGTAAGCTACTGTCTAGTGCTGTCTGTATCGGCAGTCTTCGTTCATGAATAAACAAATTGAGTTAAGGAGATTATTGATTATCTATACATCGATAATACATATTTGACTAATTGGGTGAGAGCGACTGGTATATATGTACTTGAATGTTCTACATCACAGATGACTCATCCAATGACGTGTTATTCATTTGCATATTATACCACTGAATTACAATTGTCAATCAGTCCATGTAATTGATAAATCGCTGAGGAGTTCTCCTAATCCGAAAAGATTCAATTTCTGATATATTATATATATTATAAAGACCAAAAGTAAGGCCGAATGATGAAATGATCGCCTCGCTGGCACATGTGATATATTTTC